TTAATTTCATACAATTTTTTGTTATTCTAGACACTAAGACTGTGGCTGTATGTGGAACATTATCTTGGTGTCATTATTGCATTTGTACTTTGTTGTTGCACCCTTTATGGTTGTTTAATTTGTTACTTAAACAGGTATCTGCCTAATATATTTTTTTCCCCACAGGTATTGCATGTTGAGTTTCAGGCATTGCATTGGGATCTGTCATGTTGGTGACCTCTACACCAAATATAAAAGTGTTTTGCAAATTCAATAGTTGTTTTGTTGTAAGTAAAGGTTTTTCTAGTGAGTCACTAGATGAGTCTAGTAGGCGTTGACGAATCATTGGAAATATTAAGCCAGCTATAAATAAATCACTAAATAACATTTCTTTATTTTCATTTGCAGTTAGTGGTTTTATGGGGCATTTTCTTACTAAAGTTTGTAATTTTTCCATAAATTGCTTTACCAAACCTGATTCAAGTTGTTTTGTTTATCTTAACTTGTCATCATTATAGGTGTAGTTTTTTTGAAAATTTATTGTCCAAAATAGTTGGTGCATCTTCAAAGTTGAGTTCATTTTCGATGAGTGGGAAAGATTTAGCACCACATAGAACAAATAACACATCAAATTATCTGTATCTATTACTTTAGCTTTTAAGATATACCTTTGTAGCATTTTTTTCCAATACAGATATTCTTCTAACAGTTCACCTTGAAGAGTTTTTTGGAATATTTTATGATCCATTGTGTTTATAAGATAATATAATAATATTGCTGTAGATTCAATCAAGACACGTAAGTTAGAAGTAAGGTTATTATTATATTATCTAAAATATAAAGGAGTACAATATACTTAATATAAATATAATAACACAATATCACAATAACACAATATCACATTATATATCAAGCCTTCTCAGGAAGCGCACGTTTTGTTTGTCTATGTTTAAAGTATCTTTTTTAGACAAACTGACCACGGCAGTTTGCATCTTTTAACTTTTTAAGTGTTACAATAATTTGCGGTAAAAGCTAAACTTATCTACTAAGAAAAAACAATCATAAAAAAAGAAAAAAAAATTGTGTATGAAAATGAAATATCAAGTTTAATTAAATAAACCAGAAAATTTAATAGGAGAAACTACTTAGCTATGTATGCTTGAACTATGAGAAATTTTGTTAATTTTTTTCTCTTAGGTTTATTCATTTTGTACGTCTTTTCGCTTTTAAAAATGATTTTGCTATATTTGACGTTTTTTTCTCAATAGTTATATAATAGGAAAATAAAAAAATAAATTGTTATTTAATTGTAAAATATATTATTTAATAAATGAATTTTGTAATGAAATAATATATTCAACAACAGAATAACATGGTTTCTTTAATAAATGTATTTACTGCATTTGATGCATGCCTGAAATTGTTTCTTTTATAATACCCGATTTCCAACGTTAATACGAATTACTAATAATTAAATAGGCTTCTAAACATTTTGTTTAAAAAGTTCAGTAAATTAACAATACTACACTAGCCCACAAGTTTTTGGAAACTTGTTAATATCAATAGTTCATCAGGAAATAAACTATTGGGTTTAAATGCATAATTTGGATAATCCTACAAAAGTGCAGACTATGTCAATGGGGGTATTGGAAACAACCAAATGTTTTATATTTAAATATTAGTATTAATGACTTTTTATTTTTTTACATGAAAAACTTGTTTGAAAAAAAAAATTATTACAAATAAATAGCAAAAAGTTTTCTCGCTTTGCTGTTCATTGATAAAAACAGTAAGGTTTAGCAAAAACATTTGAAAAACAAATTTAAAAATTGTGCATGTTTCTAGCGCAAATTATAAAGTATTTCCTTAATATACTGACTGAAAAAAGTCACAAAAAAGTTGCATCTCAAAATATGTTTTTATTTTTGTTATCTACTTTTTTCCTCAACTTGTATTAATTTTGGTGGTGGAAAATAAAAAACGCCCTAAAAGTAAGAAAATAAAAACAGCTAATTACTTAAGTATATTATTTTTTTGACAACAATTTTCTTTTTATAATATTCAATTTTTGTTAGCTTATTTTATTTAGATTTTCTTTTTTGTATAGTTTTTGATTCTTCGAGTATTGATGTTTTATTCTCTCTAGTTTCTTATAGCTTTATTTTGCAGCAAATTCTTAAAACGCTTACTATATAAAAACGTGGTCATATTGTCTAATTACTTTAAGCATGGATAAAAAGGTGTGCAAATGAACACACTTCCCGGGAAGGCTATATATATATATATATATATATATATATATATATATATATATATATATATATATATATATATATATATATATATATATATATATATATATATATATATATATATATATACATATATACATATATACATATATAAATAAATAATATATATTATTTATATATATATATATATATATATATATATATATATATATATATATACACACACACATATATATAAGCTCATTTAAACTGTTCATGTTATTTATTAGGTACAATATTGTCTACATTATTCTGTATGGTCTTGGCTGCGGAACAACTTTGCCATGGAATTTTTTCATCACTGCTAATAGCGTAATGTTCAAATATTTAGTGTGATTTATATTTTATGTATATTGTTATAGGTTTTACTTGCTAACACTATTGCTTATCCAGTTGACTTAATTTAAGGAAAAAACTGAAAAACGCTTTTTTTGGTTATTTATGTAAAAATTATTTTTTAAGCTTTAGATATTTTTTATGAAAAACGTATGTATACATTTTACAGCCAACTTATTTTAATTTCTTTGTAAATTTCCATTTAAAATAACAAAAGGTTAAAGTTATCTTAAATAACACTTATATTTTTATTCTCTATGTAATTGTAATGTAGAGGTTAGAATACATTTTTACTGAGAGTTACAGAATTTGAGTTCTACCCTGTTTATGAAAGTACCATGCTTACCTTATTTAGTGCTTTGACTGTGATTTTAAAAGATTTTGTTTTTCAATTACAAGGTTGAGGAAGGGTTATTATGGCTTTTTTATATATCTATTTTATTGAGAAAGTTGTTAGCTTATTACATGTTCTATTTCTAGGCTATAAATAACATTAATAAAGTAATATAAAAAGTTGATGCTAGTAAAATAAGAGAGAAGCAGTAAATTGTACATCTAAAATGGAGGGTTGACAGTTTGATCTGAAAAAATCAAATTCAGCATAACTAAAAACAGCTTGCGCAGTTACATAGGTCAAGCATATAAAAAAACATTGAAAACTTGATTGTTTTTACGATTTAAACTCAACATTAATCTAAAGTATAAAACCCAACGTTGATTCAATTTATATGGATCAACATTGATCCATATAAATTGATAAAATTTTTTAGCTTTTGCCATTTCTTATATTTGAAGTCTTAAAATACAACATTGAATCTATGTAAATTATTACACTTCATTAACATCAAATACGTTGGTTGTTGGTGACATCACATTTGTTACCAAAATTTATCAACGTATCTGTGCTAGCTGGGGAGTGTCCACAAAAATATGGTTATTGCATTTATATCTATTTTATATTGATAAAATTTTTAATAATTTATTTAATAACATGTAATTGTATTTAATCCATGTAAAGCTAAATAGTTGATATTCTTTATAATACCATATGTTATTGCATTATAATTTTAATTTTTTTTTCAAATTTTATTTTGAGTTTTAATGGTAATTATGATAATATAAAACATAATAAAATTAAAAATTTGTGTGAATTTAAAATATAAAATTAAAGTTTGGTTAAAAATAAATTCAAGTTTTTTATTTATTTAAAACTGTAAATTTTACTTAGTTGCTGCGAAGCCATGAAAAAAAGTTTCTTGATAAAAAAAATTTTTATCAAGAAACTTATGTAGAAGCATTTGAATTCCATTTATATCAAGAAACTTATATAGAGGCATTTGAATTTCATTTTTATCAAGAAACTTATATAGAGGCATTTGAATTCCATTTTTATTAAGAAACTTATATAGAGGCATTTGAATTACATTTTTATCAAGAAATTTATATAGAGGCATTTGAATTACATTTTAATCAAGAAACTTATATAGAGGCATTTGAATTACATTTTTATCAAGAAATTTATATAGAGGCATTTGAATTACATTTTATCAAGAAACTTATATAGAGGCATTTGAATTCTATTTTTATTAAGAAACTTATATAGAAGCATTTGAATTCTATTTTTTATCAAGAAACTTATATAGAGGCATTTGAATTCCATTTTTATCAAGAAACTTATATAGAGGCATTTGAATTACATTTTTATCAAGAAACTTATGTAGAGGCATTTGCATTACATTTTTAAAAATGTGATTCAGTTTCAAATTCAAAGACTTGTCCATATGATAATTTAAAACAGAATGTCATCGATAATATTTAATGAAATTTGCACAGAACACCTTATAAAAATTGATAGATGTGAAAAAAAAAATTAAATCACCTATGATCTTTCCAGATCAAACATATTGTTTTTTATGCTGTTTAAAATATTTTTTTTTGTTAAGTGGAAAAAAATCTTTACTAAAAAAAATTAATTCAGTTTGGCCTGAGATACAAGTCTTCAAAAAAAATCAACAATGGTTATATATGTCGTTCATATTTATATATGTCGTTCATATTTATATATGTCGTTCATATTTGTATATGTCGTTCATATTTATATATGTCGTTCATATTTTGGTATAACTTAACATTAGACAGATATAACCATAATTCATTGTTAAAAGTTTAAGGGAATTAGCTAAAAAAATATTTAATTAAAGAAATTGTGATTTTTTATAGTAAGGAGAGAAAAAATATTTCACATAAATTTAGATTATTTCTTTAATTAAAAAATTTATAAAAACTTTTTAGTTTCAACATTAAGTTAAGCTATGAGCAATTTTCAATTTAAGATTTTGCATTTTTGTCTCCACTTTTTTTTTCTGGTTACCAACTATCAGTAACCAGAGCAACAGTAAAGTTTAAATGTGTTAACCTAATTTTATTGTTGTTGTTTTTTAAATGTCAACTTGTAATTAACTATTGTTTCAAATGATGAAAAATAAACTCCAACTTTCTAAAAGTTAGAGTTACATAGTTTTTTAATTTTTAACAGAAATTGTTTAAAGAAAAATTGCATTAATAACTGAAATCCAAAATATAAAAATGTAGCAATAATGAAAAATTAAGTTATGCAATCTTTACAACTATTGAAATTTTTTTGAAAAGACCATTAACTAATAAAAATTAAAATAATTTAAATGTCAGTTTTACAAGGCCTAAAGGTTGTGAAGGAGATTATGTTAAAATATTTCACATAAATTTTGACTTTTTGCTTATTGAATTTGTAAGATTTATAAGTTATCAAGGAGTTTATTGCAAGCTAAAAACAATACAAATTGTAATTTTCTGCATAATTTAAAATTTTATTTAAACAAATAGTTATTATGCATAGGTACCCAGTACATCTGTTGTTTTCACTGACATCTATATATAATGTTTGACTGATAAAAACTTTAAGATGCATAATTAGAAAAAGTTTAAGATGCATAATTAGATTCATAAGATAATTTAGTCTTTAGTAATCAAAATATTTAAAATTCAATAAATTTTTAAATGTTTTTACTATAAGTTACTGTAAATTTAGTTCTACTATAATATAGTTACTTACTACAAAAATATTTAGTATTTTAATTTTATTTTTATGAAATTTTTTTACTTTTTTCATTAAGTTAATTTCTTACAAAGTATTCTTTTTAAACAGTACTTTAGCATGAAATTCATTAAGTTAATTTTCTTACAAAGTATTTTTTTTAAATAGTACTTTAGCATGAAATTCGAAAGTGAACCGCTATTAACAAAGTCGTTTCAAAATTACTTTTCTTTGGCTGCAATGCTTCCAAACTTGTTGATGATGTTTTTAAATGTTATTTACTTACAAAGGTATTAGCATTAGCAGTTATAATATTAATTATAATTATAAAAATAATAATTAAAAAAATAATATAAAAATTAATATACAATTATAATATTAATTATATTGGTGGTAATAGTAACAACAACTATTATAATAATGGTAACAATAAATTAAAATAATAATAGTTGTAAATTGAGTATAAAAGATAATAATTATTATAAACTGTTATTATAAATTAATGGTTATTATATTTTTTTGTTTTATTGTTTATTTCACATTTCATATTTATCTGCTTAGCTCAGTATTTAACCAATGTCAAAAAATTATAAATCCTTTGATGCGAATCATAGACTTTGAAATTTGTAATATAACTAAACATTGCTAGAAGTTTTTTTGGTTATTAGCTAAATTGATTGATGGTTCCCTATATCTTTAGATTTATATATCATATATATAATTATAAAGAAAGCTATGCAATCAAAAAAAAAAGGCTTCGTTTTAATTGATTTAATAAAGAGACTAAAAAAAGTCTAACACAAAAAAAACTAACCAAATTATGGAAATTCAGAATCATTTTAAAAACAATTACTCTGATTTCTATATTATCATTTTTCTAAAATATTATACAAGATAGGTTTGCAATGTCATTGAAAAATTAATTATTTATCTGATCACAAAACAAAGAATGGGATCTTTGTGACACCAAATTGTACTTGTGATCTATGGAAATAATTTGTGAAACAAAAATTGTACTTGCGATTTATGGAAATAATTTGTCTGAAAAATGTGAAAAAAATAACAAGTATTTCTGTACAATGTTGTATTGCCAGACAAGGGTTGTATTTAAAAAAATCTTTTTATGAGCTGGCAAGTCCTTAAAAAGCTAATGATAATCTCATTAATTGTGATAGAGACTTCTAGACACCAAAGCAATAGTCTTTGTGATGTTGATGAAGAATTTTTTGCTTATGAACAAAGTTTGAAAAACTTTAAAGTTATTTACAATAAAAATATATCTCAAAAAATAGACATTATTTTCCTTTTTATATGTTTACATTATAAATATAAAATAAAAAATTATGTGGTTGTGCTTCCTTCATAAACGAGAAGTGTTTGAAGCTTGTCACATCCCTAATAGTAAAGCACTCAACTTTTTTCTCTTTGCAGCATCTTTTTTCATCAAGGTTGGTGTTTCAGAGTTAAACAGTTGCGAAAGGGTTGTAACCATAATAAAGTAGCCTCCTCGACTGTAGTGGCCCTGATTGCCTTGGAAGATAAATAACATTAAAAAATAAAAAAATAACATCTCTTAAACAATTTTAAAATAAATTATATAATCTTGTATTGTCATAGTTTATTAAAAATTTTTAAAATAATTTCTTTGTTTTTCTAATAACTTTAAACAGGTTTGAAGACATTTTCAACAAGAACTTTTTAATTAATAGATGCGTTTTAAATAAAAAAGGTTTTAAATAAATTAAACTTCAAATAATGATGGTCATTTTAAGAAAATATTAAAAAAAAAAAAATCAAGATTTTATTTAATTTTCTTAAACTTTTTGGTTTAATCAACATTCATGTTTTTGTTTGTATATTTTATTAATAAAATTATTAATAAAATAAGTTCGATTATAAATTTACTTTGTAAATTTTAACCATATTGTGTTTTAAAAAGCGTTAAGTAAGTTTATTACGACATCAAACGTCAGTGGTAATGAAAAAAAATCTGACTTAAACCAATAGCTTGTGTAAAAACAAATAGCTTGACCATGATTAAACACAGATTTAGGTAGATGCCATCTCTGTCGAGCATTTGCTCTTGTGACTTGTGGCAGTCATAGCAAATGCAGATAGAACAATAAACTGAATCAAGGTAAATTATTTCCGTTGGACTCATATCAATTCAGAGAAGGAAAAAATCGTTATGTTTGTGTTTTCCTGTTACAATTTTTCTCTCAAGCTCCAATTTTTGTTATATAATTTTCTGTTATTCTTTTGTTTTAAATCATTGGATTTTTTTTCTATTTAAGGTTTACATTTAGCTATTTCACTCAAATTATTTTAATTATGTGAATACATAAATTGATAAATAAACAAATCGATTAATAAGCGTTAATATTTATATACAAATAATTAACAATTTAAATACTTTACAAATCAATTGCAACACAGATTAAGTAATTTGATTGAGTACATTTTTGCATCAATTTTTGTTTCTTTATTAATAAAATCGAATATTGAGCAACATTTAAATATAAGATAAAAAGTTTAAGTATTGTGTAACCTAATATCTGAAAAATGCATATAAAAATAAAAGTTGAAATTAACCTGAATAAAAGTTTTAAATAAAATTTAAAAATGGTGACAATTTTCACTTAAGCACCCATAAATTCTTTTTAATTTAAAAAAAAATTTTTCCGCCAAGATCCCTTTTCAATCAACTAAAAATAAAGTTCATTTGTTTTTTTATACATTATAGTTTTAGAGTAACCACAGATAATGAGAATACCTACACGCCACACACAATCGCAATCCATTTCATTTTTATGATGAGAATATTAAAAATACATTGTGTTTTACTATATTTACATTCTGTATGCTAATTTCTTATATATATTGTTAATATATACAAAAAATATTTATAATTCTATTGAGCCAATATAATATAAGTTTATTTAATTAGTCATTTATTTCCTTACATTCCATTTCTAATTAGAAGAATTAAGTTGCAAATGGTGAGCAGAGGATAACAGCATTCAAGCAATAAAGTTTTAAACTGTAATACTTTTTTCTGTCATTAATACTAGCTGAGCATCTATGGTTTTTTTTTTTTTTGTTAGTTATTATGCTGCACAATGCAGAGTTGTTGTGCAACGTTACAACGCAAACAATGCAGAGTTGTAACACAAATTTTTAAATTAATTAAAGGTGTTTACATGAAAATTTTTAAATTTTGAAAATTCTAAACTTAAAATAATCATTTGTATCTCTATCAGAATTATATAAATTAAATTTTTTTTTTTCATTTAGGTTTTCACGTGTCAAGCGCATTTGTATTTCTTTATTCATAATGATTGTTGTATCTATAGCAACAACATCTTTGGTTTTAACTGATACATATTCATGTAATTATAAATTCCTTGTAGTTTGTTGTTTCTTTTTTTTCAACAAATGTTTGTTTTTAAACAGTTTTATAATTTTGAAGTTTTTAAAACCTTTTTTATAATATATTATAATATATAATATATACATATAATATATGTATATATATATACATATATATATATAATATATGTATATATATATATATATATATATATATATATATATATATATATATATATATATATATATATATATATATATATATATATATGTTTAATTTTTTTTAAGGGACTGTACAATTTTTTGTTATAACAATTGCAATGCTGGTTGTAATCAATGGTATATTATTTTTAATGAAAATATTATTTTCTGAAATTAGTTGCTTTATTTTTGAAAATTAACAAATTACAATTTAAAACACCATTTTGAGCTTATCTGTGGATTTGTGATGACTGTTCATTAACATCCTTAGTCAATGGAGGTTTGAATATGCTAGCTTTAAGCTTTTGGAAATTTCAGTTAAGCAAAACTTGTCAATTTTGTTAAAATATTTTTTAAAAAAGGTTAAAAAAATAAATTTGTATTAGATATAAAAATAAATATAGTGAAAGTAATTTTTACAGTCAACGCAATTGAACAATATAAAACAGTAATTAACATTTTTTTTAAAACAACTAATAATTTTTACTGATTGTTTTCCATAAATGGCCATTAGTTCAAACATTTTTTTATTTGTATTTCTGAAAATGTTTTTTGTTAGGATCTGCTGCAGTTTTTCAAGGTGCATTATTTGGGTTTGCATCTTTGTTACCTTCAAAGTATTTGCAAGCTGTAATGGCTGGGCAGGTCTTTTTTTTCACATACTTTTTTTTTTTAAACAATTTTCTTGGAATAATTTAGCTTTGAATTATTTTTTTTGTTATTTAATATAAAAATCATTTCCTTATACACTATTTTTTTTTGTTTTTTACAGTTATGCGTTTAAGCATCATTTGAAAAGCAAATTTTTTTTTTAGGGTCTTGGCGGACTACTTGTTTCAGTGATCAGTATTATTTCTATGTTTGGTGAGATTTGCTTATTTTATTTGTTATGCAAATTTAAGATTAAAAAAATTAAACAGAGTTTGTTCATCCAGATGTACATAATAATTGGTTAGTACATGCATATATACATACTAGTTAGTTATAGTTAACAACACATGCCGTCTTGTTAACTTTTACCAGTATACTAACAGTATGTAAATCTATATTCACTTCTTAATAGTTTTTTGAGGTTGCTCTTAATTCAATATTTCTTTTGTTTAATTGCATAAAAACTTAATATTTTTTTTCTAAACACAGCTATGGAATTACCATTAATAACTCATGACCTAATGTCATTCATCTTACAATCAACATTAAAACATTACTAGGCCAACATTTTTTTTTTTTTTTTTGGGGGGGGGGGGAATAAAGCATAGCTTCCAAAAACATTTAATATATATTTCGAAACAATTACAAATATCTTAATAATATGAACTTGATTATAAATTAAAAAATTTTAAGTAAATTTATAAATATAATACAATTTATAAATGCTTTATAGATTAAATAAAAGAATTTCTTTTATATAAAAACTTTTTAATGTTTAATTGGATTTTTTTGTGGTTGCAACAAAAACTTAAGATGAATTAAAATTTTAAGCAAATAGTAAAAAAAAAACAAGCGCTAAATTACTTTACCTTGTGTTTTATTTGCCAAAATGTTTTGTAAAAGAAAAAAAAAAGTTTATCAAAAGTCAACCAAGTTTAAAAAAAAATTAAATGTGTCATCAAGTTCTGATTTCAAATTGATAAATATTATTATTTATACATTAGCATATTATCTTTTTTTAATGCCGAATTTGAGAAGTGGTAAGTGCAATACTGTGCTCAACTTGGCTCTCTGCTCTGCACCTTTGTCAATGTTTTATTTTGTATTAAAGAGAAAAGGTCATAATAAGTATTTAGATTCAGAGCAATAACAAAAACCTACATTCAGTTTAGACCTGAATTGTTTTAGAAACTAAAACAATCATTTCTGTTGTTAGGTATTCCATAATAAAAATATACCACTATGGTATCATGAATGTTTTAATAGCATTAAGTAATATTGTAAAAGTTAATTTTCAAAATATTATTTTTACAATAAGAAAAAACTCTGGAATTAATATTTCTCTATAAAGTCTTATGTTTTTTAATATTTATTCCAAATTTTTTTGTTGTTGTTGTTGTTGTAAAAATATACTTTTGAAAATGTATTACAAATTTTCAAAACACGTCAAGATATAATAAATATTTTGTTATTTTTAAAAATATTTACTTATATATATATACATATATATACTATAGCATATATAAATCAGTTTTGGTTATCTTTACAGCGGCTGTAAAATTTAGTGTTAGAGTTTTTATTTGTTTAAATATATAATATTGCTCATCGTCAATGACAAATTCATGGTTTCTGAATTTGGCAACAAATTCATCCACAAAGGCAGCTACTCTAACTGTTAATATCGATTATTTTTTTTTTAAATAACTTTAAATAATTTTAAATGTTTGTTTTATTTTTTTGATGTAAAAATGATCACTAGAATTTCTTAGCAATTTTTTTGTTGAAGTTGTTTGAAATATCTTTCAGATTATTTATATTTCTGACAGTCATAATTTTTTTGTTTTCTGCTTGATCCAAAATTACAAGCTTCATTGTTCTTTAAGTTTGCCATATTATGTTTGACAGTTTATTCAGTGTGGTTAGAGGCAACAAAATACTCTACAATGTTCTTGGTTTTAGAATTTAGGATGCAAATTATAATAGTTATACACTTCAATTAAAGTAGTTATTGACTTTATTTTGTGACTTTTTTATTTACTTCATTTTGTGATTTATTTATTAACTAATATAAATAAACAAAACTTTCAGTAAAAAAAAAAAGCTAATAATTTATAAGTAAAATAACAAAGAAAGTGAGGCTGGGTAATTAAAAATAATAATTAAAATAAGTTTTAATTGCTTGAAGAATGTGCCCAATTTTGTCACCAGAAGTTAGTGTGTTTGTTGTATTCAAATTTCTCAGTTATCTTTATTTAACATTTTATTAGTTTTTTTTGACAAAAAACTCATTAAAATGAATTTTATGTCAAAGAAAGTTTCTTATTTTTTAACCAAAAATAGCTTGTTTAAACCAGTTTAGGGGAGTGTGGGCGTGAACAAGAGCTAAAGCTCTCTATTTGCACCATGGCTTTCAAAAAAAAATTAATTTTAAACTTATTTTGTTGAACCTCCTTAAATAAGTGAATGTGCAATATAAAAGTATAAAGAAATTCAACAAAGATTTATAATTGAATATTTTTACATTATTTTTAATTTTATTTTTTAAAATACTTTTAAAAACAATATTTAAACACATGTATTTCAAAATTTTTAAAAAGATTTTTTTTGTAATAGGTAACATTATAGCAAGTGCCTTTGGTTGCTTTTGTACTGCTGCAGTTGTATTAATCATTTCTATGGTTATGTATATACTCCTGGAAAGATTAGTAAGACTATGTTATTTTAACGAATCTTCCTCTCACTCTCTCTCTCTCTCTTTATATATATATATATATATATATATATATATATATATATATATATATATATATATATATATATATATATATATATACAGCGTGGAAAATAACGACCGGTCAACGGTCAATGACCGCCTGAAATGAAATGACTAAAAATGCTATTTTGACCAAAATGAATTCTTGCTGGTCATGGTTGACCGGTTAAAAAAAAAAATATTAAAAACAAATCTTGTTTTAAAAAGATTTAAAACAAGATTTGACAAAAAATCAGGATGTTATTTGGAAAATGCATATAATAAAATTTGAAAAATGGTTTTAAATAGTTTTTCTTTATGATAAACAGTTTAAGTTGCAAACAAGAGTTAGTAACATTATTATTAACTAATTAACATAAGCGGGTTTTGAAATGTTTTTAATGAGCAAGAGATATAAATGTTATTATAAAGTTTAGTCATGAAGAATGGTTTCAGGGTCATTAAAATATTAAAAAAAAAAAAAGGAAAAAGTTACTGGTTTCTATTAGCAAACTTTAACTATTAGAATAATTTTTTAATCAAAACTATTTTTTTATATATTTAAATAAACTTAAAAATATTAAAATTAGTAATATTAAATTGTTGATAAAATATTTATTTATTTAGTAATTTAAATTTTTAAAAATTTTAAAAAACAACATTTGAAAAAAAAGATAAAAACCAGGCTATATTATATTATAAAAGAACAAAATTCGTTTTAACATCTTTTTTCTTTAACGACCCGTTGCAATGATTACTAAGATTTAAAGAAAGAAAAATGAAAAAAAATGTTGATAGTCCAAAAAAAAACAATTGACCGTCAATTCCTTGAGTTGGCCGGTTAAATTGACCGCTTGTCTTTAATTCCTTATTTTCCACGCTGTATATATGAGATTCATTAGGAGCACAGTATCCAGTTTAATCAATTAAATCTTTTGATCTTGTTCTCCACTGTAAGAATGTATATTAATATAAGAGCATAATCAGATACTGTGTCCTTTTAAAAATATATAAATTATGTTGAAATCCAGGACTAGCCATTTATCTTTTTCTAGTTTTACTGAGTTTATTGAACCTGGAATAGATTTTATTTCTAGTGAGCTGCCTTAAAAACAGTTATTCAAAAACAGTTATTCAAAAACAGTTATTCAAAAAGGAATTCTCTTAAAAGATTAAAAAAAAACATAACATGTAATCTACTAGAAATAAATATCTAATAGAGATTTTCTCAGCAATTTATTCCACTGGTTTTTGTTCTACGGAGAAAAGCTACATAGTAAAGTTTCAATAACTAGTAACTATTGGGGAGAAATTGCTTTTAGAAACCTCTAATGGAAGCTTGAACTACTTCTTACAAAACTCTTGCAGCACCAATGTAAAAAGACTATTAATCTTTGGTTCTGCTGGTTGCAAATTTTGATGACATTTTTTATCTGAAAGATTTTATCGTGCATTAGATGGAGGCAGTGAGGCTAGGGCTATTGCTCTTGACATATCTAAAGCTTTCGTTAAAGTTTGGCATGCTGGTCTTCTCCATAAGCTTGCTTCATATGGTATTTCTGGGAAAGTTTTAGAGATTATCAAATCATTTCTTTCTAACCGGTTTATTAAAGTCATCCTTAAAGGCCAACACTCTTCTTTATTTCCAGTAACTTCTGGGGTTCCTCAAGGTTCCATCCTGGGCCCTGTTTTGTTTCTTTTGTTTCTTATCTCCATAAACAATCTTCCTGACAACCTTTCATCTAAAGTAGCTCTTTTTGCTGATGACTCAACTTTATACTCCTGTCTTGACAAAAAGTCTTCTCTTTTCGATCGCCTAGAACAAGCACCTGATCTTGAATCCGATCTCACTTCAGTAATAGATTGGGGTTCACAGTGGCTTGTGAATTTCAACTCTAACAAAACCCAGTTGTTTACTGCAAACAACTACCGTAATATGGTCAACATTGCTATATTAATGAATGGCAATCCTCTTACTGAGTCGTCCTCTTTATGTCTTCTTGGATTATCGCTTACTACTGACCTTTCATGGAAACCATATATACAATCGATTGCTAAATTAGCTTCTGCTAAGGTTGCTTCTCTTTATAGTGCTCGCCATTTCCTTACTTCTGATTCCATTCTCTACCTCTACAAATCTCTTATTCGTCCCTGTATGGAATACTGTTGTCATATTTGGGCTGGTTTTTCTAATGATTCACTTTCTCTTCTTGACAAGGTCCAAAAACGCATTGTAAATGTTGTTGGACCTAGACTATCTGCTAAGCTTGAGCCTCTTTCCCATCGTCGTAAAGTTGCATCTCTTTCTCTTTTCTACAAATACTATCATGGTCACTGCTCAAAGGAGTTATCATCTCTAGTTCCATCAGCTAAAATTCATTCTCGTTTTACTTGTCATTCAGCTAAGTCTCATTCGTTTACTGTATCTGTCCCTGCATGCTCTAAAAACTTTTATTCATCTAGTTTTTTTCTCCGCACTTCAATTCTTTGGAACTCTTTCCCATCTTCATGTTTTCCTGACTCATACAACCTTCAACTTTTCAAGTCTTCTGTCAACCGTTTCCTTGCTCTATAACTCTGTTCTTTTTTTTCCTAGTAACTCCCAACTTAATAGTGGTTGCTTGCAGCCTTGTTGGGCGAGAATGCAAATAAAATTAAAAAAAAAAAAAATTAAAAAAAAAATTCTTTGAGATAAAGATAGCTCTGATAGCTGTAAAAAAAAACTCTTAAGAAGTTTCTTATGCAAAAAGGGCATGTTGATAAAATAGAGGCAATGAAACATTGAAAAAAAGTAGAGAAAAGTCAGTAATAAAGAAGCTTATCTAAAAAGATTTTAAAAAATACAGGATGAGTCAGTGTTAGGCGAGTTGAATTTTAAAATAACTTTTTTTTTTATTTATATAGTAAAAGTTACATGAAAACATTTAAATTCTAGTTAAAACTCATCTTAAAGAAATTTAGTGTGGTGCCTTAAGTCATGCCAGATGCTCCATTACAAGCATGAAAATACTCTTTATGAGAAGAACGAAATTTGATTAAAATTAAATCATCTTGTTCTGTTTTCAATTTTGCTTTGAACTTTTTTTGAAATAAAAGTAAAAGACAAATCTGAGGATGCTTCCTAACACATTCATTCTCAATCGACAACTCTTAGGTAAAATAAATTGTGACTCCCTTCATCAAGTTAGGAGCTTGGTATGCAAACCATTAAAGTGTATTAATCTTTCTGTTATTGATTAACAATGAAGTTAATGAGAGTTAAATTCTTTTATCAAGTAATAATAAGTGGTAGTAACATCTTTGTAATGTACTAGGTACTGTAGGTAGTGTAGGGGTACTAAAATTCTTGGAAATATACAAGTTAGATCAAGAAAAGTGCTGAAACTTCTGAAGTGAACTGATTAAATTTTTTAGAATTTCACAAATTTTAAAGTCAGATTTCCAGATTTTTTTTTTAGTATTTTTTTCTTTTTGAAATCCATGTGATAATGATGCTCATCATCATTGGTATTAATAATTTTTTTTCGAGATATCTTTCAGAAAATGTATAGTTTTGTGGTATAAAAATGTCTTTTATCACTATTCTATTGTTTTCAGTACGTTGGTTTTTACAGTTTACAAATAATAAATTTAGGCGGGATAGAGTTGATTGTTTACTTTGTTTTCTGGTTAAAAAAATGACTATAACCAATTAATTGTTTACTTTTAGTTTTCTTTGTTTTTAGAGTTTCGTAAAGTTTTACACCAGAAAATTGTTGTTAGATAGTGTATATTTGGAAGAATTTAGTAAGTAAATATTTTTTATCTAAATGGTTTTTTTCTTCATTGAACAAAGTCTACAGTAGTTTTGCATCTTACTTCAAATGTGAGACTACTGTTAAGTTAGAAGTATCAGTGATCATACTTTGATAGTACAGGCTGGACAGCTCCTTAATGAAACTTCTCCAAAGTTTATAGATCATTACATAAAGAACGTTAATGAATCATATATAGAAATTTTTATTTCAACAAAACAAAAAAAATTAGCATGTATTTATAAAAATATTTTTTTTTTGAAGCGAATTACCAGTTCTCAAATTTATCTCAATTTTGTAACTTTTTGTCTTTACATCTTGTTCTTGCATTATGAGAATAAGTTACACAAATAAAAACCTAAATAAATAAATATTAAGTTAAAAGGTCAGAATAAAAAGTTTATCCTTTCAAAATCTATATTCAGTTTAGAAATTTCTTCACCAAAAAATATTACTTCAATGTATTTGTTATAATGTTCATGCGTTAGTTCAAAAAAGAATGCAATACATTAATGTAGTGTTGTATTGTATAAACATAAATGTATGCAATACATTTATGCACTATTGTATTGTAGGTTAGAGCAGACATATAAGGACACTTGTGAAACAAATGCTAGTTGCGGATAAACTAATCATAGTTAACACTGTTTTTTTTTTAACTTCCTAAAATTCATTGATATAAGTAAATGAAAAAACAAATAAAAAATTTCTAAAAATTAGCTACGACATCCATAGTATTAAAACTCTAGACTAGCAAAATTTTTTACATTTTGCAAGACAAGACAGTTAAAAACCAGCAGTTATTCGTTAATTGTAAAGCTTTAAAAATGACAAAAAATGAAGGTATTTTATGATTTAAACTTGGTCTGACATAAAACTCAAAAAATAACATATCCATACAAACTACATGCCTTACACTCATACACCACAAAAAAAGAAATAACAATTAAATTAAAAAAATATTTTTGTATTTTATTTTAAAATACTCTTAAACAAACAAACTTAAAAAATTGTTTCAAAAATTAAGTAAGGTAAAGCTAATATATATTACTAAATTGGTAACTACTACAAAATTTAAAGTTAAAAAATATTATGGATCACATAAATCACACAAAAATATTCTGAAATTATTTAGCAATATTTTTGATGAGCTCATCAAAAATATTAGCTTATTAGCAATATGCCAATATAGAGCAAATTTAAATATGCTTTTTGAATAAAAATAAAAATAAAATCATCAAACTGTAAACAAAATGGTACCAAAAGTCATTTTACTGAAATTAATACTATTCAAAAAGCTCAATTCTAGATATTTTTAAAAACCAGAGGATAAAAAATAATTACTGAAAAATATAAACTTTTTATAAATAAAGCAAATCAGCAATAGTTCAAGATAAATCTTTTGTCATTGTATCGCTTAAAGAAATATTCAAATTTTAGTTTTTGCAAACTTACTGATGCATTTTGTTACTTTTAATGCATTTTAGTTTACCTAAACTTAATTTTTTTTTTTTTTTAGATTAATGAAGCACAATAGTTTAAAATGTTTTATTAAAAAAAATTAAAAAATAAAATAAACTTTAGTTAAGCTATAAGGATTCAGACATAACTGTCCTGTTATGCCCCACTGTCCTGACATGCCCCACTCTACCCTATAAACATTGATTATACTTTATCTTACTCCATGGTAACATAAAGCTCAAAGCAACATGCTAATATATTGAACATATTTTGTTGGACTAGGTACCTGTTAGCTTTTCTAATAAAAATGTTTTCTTTAGAAGAAAAATCTCATGTTTTTACTGAAGATACACATGAAGATCATGAACACAATGACTCAGCAATAATTGTACAACCAGAAAAAAATGGTATTTTACACATATTTAAAAAGGTTTGTTAAAAAATATTTAAATTTAAATTTGTATACATATATATTAGGATTATTACAGAAAATATTTTTGCCAAATTTGGAAAATATTTAAGAATTGGGAAATTTTTGCCAAAAAAGAAAAAAAAAAGAAATTCCTATGTTGGAATGGGAGACATGTTGTTTATTTGAAATAAAGCTGTTTTTGAACTTTTTAGACAACTTTGAATACAATAAAATTAGTTAAGAAGGTAGTTTTTTTTTTATGTAGAAATACCTACATAAAAATAAATATAAAAAGAATTGAATTAATATTTCTTTTCTTCAAGGCCTGGCTAAACAAAACTAAGTTTTAAGAGTGGTCAAAAGTTACTAAAGTTGTAATAAGAAGCAATATTTTGCTGATTTAACTGAATACAAATAGTAATTGTCAGAGGCATCCCAAGAGGGTGGAGGGTTGTAGGGGCTCTCTTGCCCCCTACTAAATTTACGTGTTAGCATTTGGCACTGGATTGGACAAAATTAGTTCTCTTGTTGGCATTTGACAAACATCAGCTAATGATAATAATTTATTTTTTTTAGATCTTCCCCCTTTAAAATCTCTTTGGGAAAACCATAATAACTGCTTTTGTAACCCACTTTTATAAGATGAAATAGTCTGAATTAAAAACAGTTAGTTATTTTATTGAAGAAAAAAAAATGTTACAAATATTTGCTATAGATATAAAAATCCTATTCTTTTTTGACTTTCTTACAAAATCCTAATTTTTACATATTTTAGACTAATCAAAATAATCAAATTGAATTCAGAAGCACTCAGTGTTTTTATAATTTTTTTTAATAGTATTTAATAGTATTTAATTTTAATAGTATTTTTTTAATAATATTTTTTAATAGTATGTATTTTTATGTGTAAATGATTGTTTTTTTGCTGACATGTGCAATTTTCAAAAAAAAAGTTAGATTAGTTCTATTATAAAAATTGAATTAATCAGGAAAAAAAAAATTTAGTTCCTATTGTAAAAATTTTTTTTTATCTTAAAGATAAAAAAGGCAGGGTATTTTTGAGGATAATTTCTTTTATAAAATTTTATAAAATAGTTTATCCTAAAAAATGTGGTAGCCTGTGTATTTATATGTTTTGTTATATATATAATAGACACATAGTTATGTTATCTATTTTATTTTTTTTTTAATTAGATTTTGCCAGCAAGTTTATCAGCCTTTTTAGTCTTTTTTGTGACTCTATCTGTTTTTCCATCTACAATTGCAAGGATTCAGTCTAGTAGTAACCAGCATAACCAATGGACAGGTGAGCACTTTTTTTTTTAATCAGTTTTTAAATTCCTTTTTCTCTTTTTTTTTTTTATATTATAAGCAATAAAAGGTTTGATTTTATCTTTTAATTGACTTTTAGATAAATTTTTTATCCCTGTAACATGCTTTCTGTTGTTTAATCTTGGTGATTTTTTGGGTAAATGTCTGTCTGGCTTTGTATACTGGGTATTATTTTTTTATATTCCTTAATACTTTTTTTAAACCATAAAGTTATTATAATGTTTAAAGATTAACATAAGTTGATGGATGTTTTATAGTAAGTCGATATGAGTTGATGTGTCTGTAGCTTTTAGGAAGTAGACATGTTTAATGACTAGTAACATTTAGTAATTCTTCTCAATTTGATAGACCTTTAGAATTTAGTAATAAGACAGCTTGATGGATCTGTAGCATTTAGCAATTAGACAAATAGTTAAGAGGTAAAAATAAGTTTTATCCCTCTCATGATACTTGTGCATTAAATTTAAGTTTATAAATGTAAATAATATAGTTTAATCTTATAAAACAAAACTTTTTTCTTGCTATTAATACTTAGAAATTTTATTACATTCTCTTCAACTATTTCACATTTCTATATAAGTATTTTTATTTTTATATAGTGTAAGTATTTTTATTTAACATGTTATTAGTGACAATATTTCGTATCTGTAATCTAAAAATGTTTTTGATTATTTTACATTCTTATGACAATGATTGATATTACTTTATTAATTTATTTTTTACAAAAAAAAAAAAAAAATTAATAAAAGTTTTGGCTTTCAGAACAAAAATTAAAAAGGGAGAATTGCCCGAATCGGAACAGCACCTTAATCTCATGAGTATATTTTGCATTTTTCTAATAAAATGTCTTAATTTTTACGTTTTATGATTTTCAAAGTTATCTCTTTAAAAATATTAGTCCACCATCAGTTCAAAGTTTTTTTTTTTACTTATTTAAGGTGATCTAATTTCCTGTCCACACTATATTAATTGTATTAGGTTAACTATACTGCTGTGATTTATACGATTTTATAGTGTTTAATGTGATAGGATTTCAAATGCAAGTAATAACATAAACTCATCTTTTAAGTTGCTGCATACACGATATTGCTGTAATATAGCAAAATAGTCCAGTTTCCTTGATCAGAACGATAAAGTTTTCCTTACTTAATCATATCTTACAATCATCAAGTTTTTTTAAAAAGAAGCAAGCTGTTCCGATAAATTAATCAAAGTGTTTTAATTTACGAAACATTTGGTTGCGTTTTTTGGAACAAAATTGTTGTCCTGACAAAACCGAATTTATTTTTATTAATAATCAATTTAGTCTTATTATGTTTAAAAGTTTAGTAGGGTTGTCTATTTGCATTAATTAAATCATAAAAATAAATTATTCCTTAGATATAAAAAATTTATTCCTTAGGTGTTCCAATTTTGTTTTAGGTGTTACAATTATTTTTTAAGATGCATTTTTAAATTTTTAAAGTAGCAGATAGACACAGAAAAATTTAAATTATCATATTTCAAAGCTGTAAAAGCTTTTTATTTAATTGTTGGCTATGATGGCTAAACATAAAATGTACCAAAAACCTATGGTAATAAGTTTTGTAAATAAGTTGAAAATTGCTCAAAACTTCAAAAGGAAGTCTAAAAATGGAGGTAATAATATTACTTTCTGTTTATGTCCATAGCATGTAAAAAAAAATGCTGGAATTAAAGCAATTCTTAAGAAAAGTGCACCTAAGAGAAGCTTAGATGGAGAAATTAAAGGAATTCTACATACAATTATATTGGTAAAAAATTGGTAGATAAAAATATAATGTAAATGTTTTAGAGAAAAGACTAGATTTTGACTAGATTTTTCCATGTTCACCAGATAATTGGTAAAAAATAGTATTAATTACAGTGCTAATAATTGCAATGAAAAATACAGTGGTGGTAATTGCTATAAAAAATACAGTGGTGATAATTAAAGACTTTGAAATGAAAACCTCAAATGTTACAAACGATTTTTTTTTTCAGAAGAGCATTTAAATTATTGATATTTATCAAAAGTACCTTTTTTTCACAGTCAATTTGAAGGACATAATTTTTAAAGAAACATTTAACAAGAATCATTAAATGGACTTATATATAGGCAACCAAAAATTAAAATAGATCTAATTTGCATAAAAGTGGACATTTGAGGTTTTCATTCCAAGGTCTTCAATTCTGATAAATTACTTTTAGCCTAAAACCAGTCGTCTCTTAATTTTGATGTGTGCGGCACGTTTGGTATTTTTGCCGTTGTTTGCGTTGTGCAATGCTCAACCTCGTGACAACGGAACATTAATTGTCTTCCAACATGATGCATGGCCCATTTTATTTACGATAGTTTTTGCGACCACTAATGGTTATCTAGGATGTATAGCTGTCATGCAAGGACCGACGTAAGTTAAGTTCAGTATTTTTAGTTATGTATATATATTCATGTTTTAGGTTATTTTTATTTTAGTTTTATGATTTGTTAAGTTTTATTTACATGAATTATTTTCATCGGGGATAGACGTCAGTCAGACATCTTGTAGACCCTTCACGTCCTATAGACGTTTTATACCTACTCGATAATAATTAAATCTGGTAATGAAGGTGAATTAAACAAAAAAGCATGAAGTTTTATGTAATAACTGCATTAAACTTGTCATTGTTTTTTTTTTCTTTTTGAACTTTAGTTAATTAAAGTGCTAGAAACTTTTAGGTTCTCGGTTTGGAATCCGGAATTTTCTGTCACTAATTTTTTACCTTCAAAAGAATAAGAATGCATGTAAAATCACCAATTAAGTTTCGTCTCTGTAATTTTAGAATCGTTCAAGTCATTTTTTTATGTTTTGAGAAAACTAAAAAAAAAAAAACTAAAAAAAGGCTTCGCTTTTTTTCATCGCAATGAAACGAATAAAAAAAAGTATTTTCTGTATGGTTCAAGTTACAGGCTTTTATACAAAATAATAGAAAATCTTTTAAACTATTCATTTCAACCATAAACTTAAAATCCCCCACAAGTGATTTAGGTGGTTGTGAAATTTGACAATATATATTTTTTTATTGTGAATTTTTTTTTTCATTACTCTCCTTTATATTTTCTCTTAACCATTCTAAAGTAACCGCTGACCGCTGCAGAAATTTTTTTTGTTTTATTTGGTAATTAATTTTAGATATGTAAATGCTCGTGACGCTGAAATGGCTGGAACTATTATGGTTTTTTCTGTTGTGGCTGGATTAACTTGTGGTGCTGCATTTTCATTTGCTATTGCTCCAAATTTGTAAACCAATTCTTTGTTAATAACTTATTTTATTGCTTATGTTCTAAAAGTTATAATATAAATTTGTTTATATATAAATTTGTATAAAGTTTTTATTCTCCTTAAATATTTCTTTAAATTATTTGAAAGTTAATATTATATTTATTTATAAACATAATTGTATATATGTATATGTATTTCAAAATTAAGAGCATTTAAAAAAATATTTATTTATGTATATATATATATATATATATATATATATATATATATATATATATATATATATATATATATATATATATATATATATATATATATATATATATATATATATATATATATATATATATATATATATGTATATATATATATATATATATATATATATATATATATATATGTATTTATACATATATATATGTATTTATATATATTTATATGTATTTATATATATTTATATATATTTGTATACATATATATATAAATATATATATATATATATATATATATATATATATATATATATATATATATATATATATATATATATACATATATATTTGTCTCTGTATTTATTTTCTGTTACTTTAGTTTCTATTACTTCAGTTACTATTTGTATTTAGTTTCTATTACTTCAGTTACTATTTGTATAAAAAATTTTTAAAATATAAAGCTGTATTTCTTTTTTTAAAGTGTATTTATTTATTATTATTAATAAATTATTATTGTTTTAAATAAATTTTAATGTCTGTTGAAGTTGTTATTTTTCGGCACTTACTACTTTTTTTTCCAGCCATCTTCTTTTATTCATTTATTAATTCAAAAACTTTAAACAGGATAAACTCTTCAGTTATAAATACAACACAAACACTTTTGTTATGGAAGTCCTGTGTTAGGATGTTTGAAGAAAAGTAAAATAAAAAAAAAGATTACAATAAATACAAAGTAGAAATGCTAAATATAAACTTGGTTTACATCTCAACTGACATGGGAGACTAAAGTTCCATCAAAATAAACTTATAGTAGAGTGAACCACTATTGTTTATAGTGTTCTAATTGTTCTAAATAATTCGCTTTTTGTAAATATTTAGGGGAGAATGGGGCACCATGATTCACTTTTTGTTTTTGCTTCGTAACAATTTTTTTTAATACGCCTATTTTTTAGGCGACTAATTAAATTTGTAGAATAAATTTTTACCTACAAAATTAAATTTACTAGTTACCAGAATACAACTGGTTAAACTTGTAAGACTGTGTATCAAGTTACCCCATACTTGCTAATAAAAAACATTTGCTTAATTTTTAGTACCAGCCTAATTTTTTATTGATTTTGTTTAATGAAGTAAAGAGCGTATGGATTGCAGTTTACAAAATGTTACTTATCAATAGACACATTTAATAACATACCCTAAAACTTATCAACTTTGAAAACTAATAAATTACTTTTTCATCAAAAAAATGCAAATTTCGACATCTCGCAGGTCTAATGATGTAAAATAATATAATTTTTTTGTCAAAACCTAACTTTAGTAGTAACTGTTTCACCATACGAAAGTGTTTCTCACAACTATTAAGATGACTCCACATTTACAATGTTTCATGGTGCCCCATGTATCGTGTAATTAAGTTTTCAATTTAAACATTTTATGGTAAATGAAATCTTTTATTTATTTATTAAAATATTTGAAACGCTAAATGAAAAATACTTTAGTATATATAATAATTCGACAGGAGAACCTGAAAAAAAAAATCTTATCATCAGTAAATTTGGGTTTAAAAAAAGTGTATTTTTAGAAAAAATCGAGTAATGAATCTTAATTGACAATAAGTTCATCAACAATAAGTTCAGCTGTGTGATGTCTGAATTTTTGAGTTGCATTGATTCAAGTTTACGGCTCATGTTTGTAAAAAGGTTTCCTTAGCCTGGAAATGAAGTGCCTTGTAATTTTTAATTTACGGAAAGGTTTTTTAAAACCTTCCTGTAAATCGGGTATAGGTTTAATATCATACAAAAAATGTTATTGAAAACCGTTCGAGTGGGCACGGTACGTTTTTAAAATGTTTTTTGGACGTTTTTATTAGGTTTAAACTTAATGAAAACGTCCAAAAAACGTACTTTGCCCACTAGGTTGGAAGTTTTTTCTATTTAATGCGGCAACATAAGTTGCGTGATTTTGAAAACATTTATTTGATAAATATCAAGAGCCCTCATGTTTCTAAAACGAGGTTTACCATTAAGAAAGTGATTTTGAAAATGAATATTTTGTGCTGCATGTTTATAAAGACATTTGAGTTTAGATTTGTTTGTTCTACCCAACAATATTACCATAACATAAGTAACTTACCATAACATAACTAACTTACCATAACATAACTAACTTACCATAACATAACTAACTTACCATAACATAAGTAACTATTTATGAATTCAAAGTACAGTTGTACAGCTGTACTTTGAATTCATAAATAGTTACTTATGTTCTCAAGAAATATTTGGATTTCATATAAAATTCGTCAAAGCTCAGATAACACAACACTAACACGTGTTAGTGTTGTGTTATCTGAGCTTTGACAAATTTTATATAAAATCCAAATATTTCTTGAGATTATATTGCTTGTATATTTAGTATAGCTAATCTATTGTAATATATAGTGTTGCTAATATATCTCTCCAAGCTAAGTTTTCACCTACTAAAACACCAAAAATTTGTTTTTGATGGAGTGCTTAATTGTGATATTACTTATAATAAATATCGGTAAAGATGCAGGAATATATTAAAACTTATGTCTAGATAGAATAATGGAAACTCAGTGTTTAAAAATAGACTGTTGGCATTGAGCCAAATTGGTGTTTATTCTGGTTTTTTGTTTGCTATTCAAAATAGACTGATAATGCTACTGTGAGTATAAAATAATACTGTGAGTATAAAATAATAACTTTATATAAAATAAAGTGATGTTGTCAGCAAATATGAATACAAATATTGTGTTTGACGCTTTATATATATTCCTTTGATGTTAATTCATCTCCCCTAGGTCAAAAAGGCCACTATAGTTGAGGAGGTTAATTTGGACTAATTAATTTAGAACTTTGACGTTGGCTTCAAGTCTCCCTCGACTCTATAACCCCAAAATACAAACCTGATGAACAAGATGAGCGTGGTAGTACTAGGGACGTGGTAGGGATCAAACTTCTCGCTTATGAAGCAAGCGCTAAACCACGCATTATATAGATCATTAACATAAATTAAAAATAATAAAGGACCCAAAATTGAGTCTTGTGGAACCCCATATAATATTGCAAGTTTATTTGTCTAAATACTGTCATTTAAAGATATAAACTGTTTTCTATACTTTAAGTTACTAGTGAACCATTTATGATATTATACATTCTTGCAATGTTCAACAATAATTTAATTTTTTAAATAAAATTTGATGGTTTAAGGATTGAATATTTAATTAAATTATCATGTGAACTAACAGTTATTTATAATAATAAGGTTTTGAAAAAAAAAAGGTTTCTAATGAGGCAAAATAAAATAATATCAAAAAAATAAATAAAATAGTAATCCAGCAATAAAGTTTATCACTTATAAACAATTTTTTATCTTCCTAATGACACCAAAAGATGTATTTTAAATATATATAATTTTTGTTTTAGGTGTCCCAAGAAGACCTAATGGTCTTGTAACATAGCACTGCAATAGATTCATTTAACTAGGAAGTACATGCCTCCTTTCTTACTGATGGCGCAAAATATACCCAGAGCTCGCTTTGAAGCCTGGATCTCTTGCTTCGAAAGCAAGCGCTTTACCCATTGCGCCACGGCTGCTTAAATGTATACTACTTAATGTATATCTCATGGGTTACTAATTTCCAAACTAGATGCCTATGGTTTTAGCCCAAACAGTGTAATGTTTATCTCTTCCTACCTAATGAATAGAAAACAAAGAGTAAGAATAAAAGATGAATTTAGTTGTTACACTGATATGCTATATGGAGTATCTAACCATTTAAATAATGTTAATATCTAAATGGTTAGATTCTCCATATAGTTAATATCTAAATGGTTAGATTAATATAACCATATTTAAATGGTTAGTTTTAAACGCTCTTTAAACTCTATCTAAATCTTTTTTTTTTAAACGTTGCGACGTTTAACTTTATTTTAAGGCGTTTATTTAAAGAAGCATAAATAAAAGGAATACTGATAAACAAATCAAACTTTTCTTTTATTTGAGGTTCTTTAAATAAGTACCGTAAAGAAAAGTTAAACGCCGAACGCATCATCTAAATACTCATAAACAAACCAAACGTTAAACTGATAATTTTTTATTTATATTAGTCTAAAATACAAGTAAAATCATTTTATTTATTATCATATGCATTATCGTATTCGTCATCATGATAGGCTCCATAATGATCATCGTCATCTTTGCTTAAACCGATTAAGCCTCTTCGTCTTAAGAATTAGAAAAAATGGACATAACCTTTCCTAATTCCACCTATACGGAAGGGAGCCGAATTTACAATTATAATTTTCTGTAGTTTTTTATGAAGAAATTTTAAAAACTTTACAATTTTTTAAATATAACTTTATAAATATGTTTTTTATTTATATATCACGTCTCAATCAATCCTAAATGAAAAAACTGCAGAAAATTATAATTCTAAGCAAAAAAACAATTTTCCAATGAGTGGAAGTTGTTTATCAAAAAATCTGGTATGTAAATGTGTTGTTTCCTATAAGAATTTACTTAATAAACAATATATTGGCATAACAGAGGTTGAATGGAAAAAACGTTTTGCCAATCATAAGCAATCTTTTAAAAATAAAAAGTATTCAAAAGTCACCATGCTGTCAAAATATATATGGGATAAAAATATTGATGATTTTATACTGAATTGGTCCATCCTCAAATCAGCGCCTGAATACAACAATATTTCCAAAAAATGCATACTATGTCTACAAGAAAAATATGAATTAATTACACATGCAAACCAAGAATGTTTAATAAACAAAAAATTGGAACTGGTTTCTAAATGCAGGCACGAAAATAAGTTTCTCCTAAAAAACTATAAAAATAAGTGAGCTCAAATAATAGTTATATTAAATCCTAAACTTTAGAAA